ATGAACCCTCGCACTGGCAAGCATGCTGCCCCGCGCTGAGAACATAAAGAGCAGTGCATCACCCTTCTTTACTTGTGCCTTTCATGTGAAGGACAGTCACTGACCGACAAGAACAAAACCGACCCGGGAAACTAGGGCAAAAGCCTCGATCCTGTGTATCAATCCGTGAAAAACTGACGACCTGTGACATGAGCCTTAAGAGTGACTATCCAGCTTCTTCTACTGGGTGCGTCCCGAATATCCTCTTAAATCAAACCTCCAAAAGCGGTAATCTCGTTAGGGGGCATGTAAGCGCAAGCTCGACCTTGAGGCTGAAGCGGGTATGTAAAACCAGTCATGAGTCCCCGCTATGATCAACTTTCCGTCCGGCCTCTTTAGGCTTGATGATAGCAGCGGAAAATCTGTGAGTTTATAGTCACCTTAAATTAGGATTATTCCAAATTAATTATTTTGATTACCTGGTCCACGAAAATCCCGGGCACAGTATTAAAAGCAATGCGAATCGTCTCAGGAAGCGCTCGTATTTTACCCTGTTCGCGATAGCGATTCCGTCAGAGTTAGGTTTAAATGGCTTAGCCACTGAGAGCTTAGCAAGACACCTTGGCTGGGGAAGGAATCGAATCCAGAACATCCTAAAATCTGTAATCGTTGACCGCAGTCTAACTGCTGGTTCAAAGGGTGTGGGTCTAAGGTAGGCGAAATACGGTGCAGCCCGGCTGATTTATGTCCACATATTATGTTAAGTTACTTGTAATGCGTCATGCCACTTCTCGTTTTATTGGCCCTCCATCACGCGAAGGACTTACTAAAACTCCCGTTTATCTTTTGTCCTTAGCTTTGTGAATAATACCCAAGTAATAACTATACTGTGCACTAGTTAGGTGATTTGGATACCAATATGCAGTTTTCAGTTCGAGAATCGACTGAACTCTAAAGCCCGCTGATGAAAATACCCATTCAGCCCCGAGACTTTCTCAGGACATAATATCTTTGATAACTGGCTCTTAGAGTTTAGTTCGGCAGAGACCTGTTACCCGAGAAATTCAGGAGCCAACAAAATGACTCACAAAGGATATGTTTCATCACATGCTTCGCCCTCGGAACGATCGGCGATGAAACTGCCTTGAGGCATCTCCGCTGAATACAATCCAATGCACGATCACAGGTGACTGGCGCCCGTGAGGTGACTACTACTCACCGAATCAGGTCAGATATCAGACGGTCACCCAATGTTGCGCACAAAACGTAGCCGGTCGTCTTAGTCTGGAGAGTTTCTTCAACAATATTGGCTCCATTCGAGCCTACAAGTAGACACCGGTTGTTGAGGTGGACAATCCCATGACAAGTTACGAAACCGTTCAGTCCGCTAGAGTTACTCTGCTTGCTTTTTGGCCTCAGAATTGTCACAAAAACATCTCAAGCTTTCACGCATGACGTTTTTGCGACGACTTGATTTCGTCTATCTATATATGGGTAGTACTACGGTCTCAGAGGAAGAACAACTCCGATGCCCGTGTCAGCCATTCATCAACGCAACGGAGTCAATGTCAACAACTGTGAACTGTGCAGAAGTTCTCGGGAGTTCCCATGGCATCAAACTCCGTTAGTGGGAATAAAGCCACTTCCGCTGAAGATAAAGGCGACATTGTTCACCCGGCAACAATCTCCTTTAAGCAATTACATAGATTCCTCTGGTAAGTCTATTTTTTTACATTTAGTCCCAAATGATGCACTCAACGTCTTTCAGTCAAGCAGAGGTGAAACTTCACTTCACGAGGGTGCAAACAAGACCTTCAGGCGCTTAAAATGGCTACTTCTAACATAGACGCACCACACTACAAACACCATGGAAACCTTTGTCAGTCAAGACTGATGCACCGGATAGAGCAGTAGGGGTGGTGCTACGTCGATCTGCCAGCGCTGAACGGAAAACTTTGGCATTTCCTCCTCCGTTAACCAACCATCTATACCAGTCATTTCATGCCCAGCAGACATTTGACACGACAGGAAACCACGGTTTCTGACTAACAAAAACATGTATCAAATGGGTTTGGCAGATTTTCGAATGCCCTCCTCCAATTTCCACACAGACATGTTAAGCAAAGACTGGCTTGAAAGTTATAGCTGGTGTTACTAACTCAGAAATAACGAAAGCATGCCACAGCCTTTCACCCAGACTCCAAGCCTCTCGGCTAGGGATCTCTGGGCCCATCCCGCCCTGTGGATTCAGCTGCTTTACGTCGCGCGATACTCAAAGAACTATACGACCTATCTTACCCCGGCACACGTGCTTCACTTGGAGTTTAGTGTGAAGAAAAACACTCTAAGCTGGGTCCATGCCAGTATGAAACGCCAACGCCTCAAGGTGAGTCGTCACACCAAAAACCCCTAAGATAGTCCGATCCATGTTTTCATCAAGTGCGCGCTGACCTGGTTGGTCTCCTATCACGATTGAAAAGCGTCACCTACATTTAAGTCACCCTGACCATTGTCCCAGCTAACCGAAGGCCATATCGCTACTATTATATTCCTCCAAGGCGGTTGCACGAGCATTCCCAGGAGACCGGGTGGCTCAGTTCAGTTGCCAAGTCATGGAAACAGTGGAACATGGTTTGTGTTCTTGGCAATGTAATGAAAAGCATGAATTGTGAGCCCACTTTTGAGTTACCTAGCAACCCAGCAGTCACTGGAATAGTCAAACGGTCTCGCCGATAGTGCATGGTGATACCTCACACATATGACGATCCTGAGTAGATGAGTGTTTTATCGTGACCTCTGGAACACTTAAATGCCTTTCAAAAACGCTCTAAAGCGTTACTATTACCACATATACTACGAGTGAGCCACTAGAGCACATGCCGAACAGTCACATTGATCCAAACAACTATGTTAACTACAGCGCAGCTGAAACCTGCACAAAACAGGACATATTATGTCCATGACAAATTTCATATAAGTCCTAATACAGTTGTGAAAAAAGAGCTTTAATCAACAGATTCAGTCTTTGCATGTGAGCCACATCGTGTCATTGAGCGTTCCAGAAACATCATCGCCAATGAGAAAATGGTACACATCATACGGTTCAAGTCGTCAGGCTAAATTCTAATACAGTCGCTTTCACAACTATTCCGCATCCAGACTTTTGTAAACTGGCGGTTTTGTGTTCACCGACTGTATTGCTTCCGGACCTTCAGGACCCACAAGTCTATGTGGACGCGGTCTCGGAATCCGATGACCTGTAAGATATACAGGTTATTCATTCTGTTCGATCAGTGCCGTTTTTCTTCTAATGCTAACTACAATCATTACCAGCCTTTACTTTTTTATCATTTAGACATATTATCCACACTTTCGGAAGCCCTACTTTCTGAGTAGGCAGCTACTTCCCGTTTCGTGATTTCGGCCGGTGAAATCGCTTCATGCAGATATGACAGACACTTTGCTAGACACCCATACTAAGGCTCACCACTTCAGCAACATTTTAACCTAAATCAAGAGTGCAGCATTTTATCACAGATTACGACACGCTTGAGATGCGGATGTCATCATGCCACCAGCTATGTTGATGCGAATCCACTTTTGGATACCAATGAATCGTTCATTTTCACATCCATAGGGTGCTCGGGGCACCACGTCACGCATGGTGCTCGATTTCCAACAATATGACTCCCGCTTCTGAGCTAATCACTTCTTACTTCCCACTCCTGATCACTCTTTTCATCTTCTCAATGGCTCACTTTTTATTTTTGCTCTTTCGCAACGCTGTTCGAGCGCTACAAGTTGGCAAGGAATGTAGAAAGCTCACTGACAGGTAAAAAACTTCGTTGGTCGTACAATCTCTCAGTCTGCGCCTCTGAAGGTCATCGCACTTGCATAAAAACAACGAAGCCACAACCATCATCCCTACCTGTCAAACCGCTGCAACTGTATACAACGGTAGCCCCATTGTCGGACGTCCGATGTTTCCCAAACTTTCAGTCCCCATCCCACCATTTTGGGGATCTACCGCTATAAATCCGTTGGGCATATGTGTTTTGCAGATAGAAATGTGATTCAAATGGCTCCCGGATTATGAACTTGCGAAAACAAGTCCCAAAGCCACGAGATTACGGTGCATCCTTGAACGCTCCATCAACCTCATGCCTGAGTGGACCCGAGCAGACATTGTGTCTTTAGCATCGGCAGGGGTTGGTGTTTGATGGGGCGAAAGACCAATGTTACTAAGCTTGTAGAAGTTTTTTACGGTTCTCCTCTGCTTATAACAAGATTCCAAGCTAGCGAATATACACTCATTTGCACACCAATTTGGTTCTTTCGGGAGACTCACCTGGAACCCATTTGAATCTCTCGTTTATGATGTTCTCAGGCAACTGAATGTGCTGCACCAGGCCGCCTCATGTTTCAGTCGCTACGATATTTGGAATATCGTGATACATGTATATCTTTGTAATGTACTACTCATAAGGTTGCTGAAAATCCATCGACGTTGCATGGATCATTGCATGGATCATATTGCACGTTGCATGTATCACGTTGCGTGGATCATATTGACTGCATCATCGAAGGTTTAGGGGGTTGGCTAGAAGTCTAGCATAACTCAGGCTAGTTATGTGTAATTAATCATTCGAATTGGAGGTAATAACTTGTGATCTTGGAAAAAGCATGGGGCAACCATTACCAAAAATCTACTGCAAAATTAGTGGCCGCAGATTGATACGCCCTACGTGTGTGGAACCGAAGATACTTCAATGGAGTGTCGAGAGGTGTTGACCGGATATCTGTTAACCAATACGATACCCAAGCAAAAGATGAGTTTACAGTGGCAGACCGTTCGTCGCGAATCTGGTGACAACATGCGAATCATGGTGCCATATCAAACAATACCAAGTGATCAACAGTCAATCAAAGAAACGTTCCAATTGGTGCATCAAACGATACTGTTTCGAAAGTCCCACAGGATGGACATCACTCTGCCAGTGAGTGAATGTCTTTAACTGCCAGCGAGTAAAGTGGGTCAAAATGGATAGCACGTTCACTTAAATGGCAAATGGCCGCTGGCGTACCATAATATGTGGTTCTTGGTGCGCCATCAGATGCTTACCCCATTAAGCACTGTCTCATGCGCTAATCTCAAATGGCTTACCATTCGCTGACGACGAGTTGTAAGCAAAAACCGGCGGGCTGCAAGACTAGGAAAAATACGCGCACATCCGAGCAGACTGGCGCGATAACATACAACACACAAACCATATGTTGACGCCACTAAGCCGACAAACGACAACCGGAGCTGCTGTAGGTGTTCCCATCAACCTACATTAGCACATTGGTGTACATTAAGGCCCAAATGGATAGACAGTCTGACTTGCGTCTACAGACTCTCGAGGTGATCACCGTAAAAGTGGAGCACAGACAGTTTGCCAGCTCAACAATTTACCGGACAAGCGGTTTGAATAAAGACAACTCAGATAACATCGAAGATGGGATTTCCGTGGTTGGTACTCCAAGTCTTCCGATGGGACGAGCGAAGAAAAATACACAGCTGTCTTAGAACCAAGAATACAGGTCCATGCGTTAATTCATTAGGCTTAAAAAATAATGACAGGTTTCTTTGCATTAAACTAAGCGACCAAAAACAATCACTCGCAATTGAGCTGTCCTGAATGACAGAAGAATGAACTCGTTCCCCGACCTGAAAGACCACCTAACCCAACATACTTACAAAATGATATCATGCCAACAGTTGGACTGGAGTGCGGAATTAGCGTGTTTTCAGCAGTCTAACTACTCGACTGTTGGTAGTCCGCAAAAGGTCAAAATAAAGCTAAGAATCAGTGTCCACGTACCACAAAATACATCCCTTCCCCTTATACCGGTAAGCTTCGCTGCTAAGAGGCGCGTGGTGTGAACCAGCCAATAAGCAACCTCTGGGGTGACCTGTTTCTTCTAAGCAGTGAGCATTATTTTACTTTACAAGGTATTCAGAACTATATGAGGAATATTTCGCTTTACAAATAAGTGCTATCCACAGTAAACACAGTGTTCACACTTATGAGATATATTATGAAGTTTTACGATGTTCATATGGTTCATGGGGACGTGCTCGTATTTTCCGGTTGTACAGGAAGACGAAAGGTCGACGGACAGTGGCGTTTCGGATCAGCTTCTACAGTACGACCTGAAGGAAGTCCGCGTTCTATACTCAGTATGATCATGGGCCTTCTGTGATCAGTTTTCAGGGACGATGTTCTACCATCGAACTGGTGGAGAATATTAAGTTGAACGAGCTTCAAGTAAGTCCTGAATATTTGAGAAAATCATACCAGGAGGAAATAGGTTTATGACGAGTCCGTATGAATATACTACTATACTATTTAACAGCTCAAATTCACACGTATCAAGAAGTAGTTAGTGATCATCAATCATAACTACACCGTTAAATCAGATTTTGACTCATATACGACCTATATATCACTGCGCCAATTAGTCTTCATCGTAAACAACAAGGTGTACAACACAAGGTTGACGTATTACTTCACAACCAACAAATGGCATATAGACAGACCACTATTAAGTAGCATGTAAGTGTGTATTGGAACTGCCAGTACAACAAAAATGGATACCTGTGGGACTGGCTACTGTCCTGTTGATCTAAACGTCCACCTGTCTTAAAAAACGGCAGAGATGAGAATGCATGGGAAGCAGGAACCAACTATACTAAGAAGACAAGGGTATCCGCTTAGGGATGTAAATAGCGGTTTGCTGCTGATGCTTGGTATAGTGATCCCAGGTTGACCCTGACCACTGAAAAACCAGTAGTCGAAACGATGGTACTCTACGCACCCGACTAGATGCAGTATTTTCGGACCCACTTTGGATGTATGAGCATAAGGCCATCTGGGGTGAAATAACACTGAAGGGAAATGGTGCAGGGAAAGTCATATTTAGCCAACAGTTCTATCCCTTAAAGTACTACGGAACCTCCAAACCTGTAGGTCTGAAAAGAGTGAAGTACAGTCGGAGACACTTAATTCAACTCACTTAATGCACCTGCGCTTCGTTAAACTGACACCATGCCAGAATCGTAGGTCAGACACTGTTTCTGGAATGCTGAGGTCAGAAAAATGCCAAACGTGTTATCAGCAAAAGTAAACCTTTGGTAACTATGGGAGATGGTTGTACACAAATCCGTGCAACGCTCCTTTCAAGTGTGGCCGCTCCGCAACTCGAAGGAAAGACTAGTGATGATACACGGCCATCATCATCATCATTGAGACTAGCGATGATACACGGCCAAATCGTCTAAAACTGAGCCAGCACAATGAAATACCGTGATGCTCTCAAGTCTCTCAAGACCGCAAAGCTAACTAGGCTATCCAACCAGTTGGACATTGTACACGGAGCCTGCGTAAATGTGAGCTCCAGAACAGGGTCACATAACCAGCTGGGGTACATAAATTGGCGAAAGTAAGGTGATGTGCAAAGTGCTTGCAGGGAGCCCTTATGCGAGCATCACCTGATAGCGTGTTCTTTTACATACTACTTTGTGGGCAACCGAGTGGGATTTTCAAAACTAACCACTAACTAGCAAGTGAATTTGCTAGGGTCTTTGTGCTTGTTTAGTATACTTTGCTTGCGGAATCTGGTTGGTTCAGATTACCGAGCGTCTCCATATCACCTCGCTATACTCCCTGAAAATAGGATTTAGTACAGACATTTCCTATGTGACCCGTCCACCTTTCTGCGAAGCATCTAACCTGCAAATATCTGGGTTAGAACCAACCTCACTATCCCTTACGTGACGCAAGTCGAACCGGTTCACAGCCCCGCTCCTGGAGCAGCCTTTATGCCGTTGCAAGTTTATCTGAACTGGTGTTGTACAAATACATATAGTGAGTATGCACCAATATGCCAAAACGGGTCTAATGAAAACCGATCAAGATGGCGACGTTTTTTCTCATTTTTCGCTTGTTATTTTGTAGGTTATCAAATGGATACCACAAGACGAAACCTACCGACAGTACAGAATACCAGAAGAAAGACTGAGCGATACTATTCTCGCAAAGTCATCCACGAGTGATTCTTTCTCGCAAAGTCATCCACGTTTGAACAAATAGAACATCCTAACGTTAAGAAACTTCCAAAGGAATGTAGAATTATTCAACAGTTAAAACACCCAAACATCGTGACTTTTATTCGAACGATAATGGATGAGAAACGCATGATGATTGGAATTGGTGAGTGTCATTGTCACAAACGTGTAGAAGTGTGAATTGCCAGCTTCAATGTATTCTCTATTTGCTTCCACATTATCCGTTTGTCCTACAGTCGAAGGTCAGAGCGAAACTCAAACTGGAAAGTCTACTAAATTTATTGAAAACTGATCGAAACGAACGCCGAAGACCATACGTATTGTAAATAATAATTATTCAGCTCTAACACCCCGTCGGTTCCTAGCTGCCATATCACCCGAAGGAGCCACGAAGGCTGAGATACCGCCAAGTCGCCCAAACCCAGACAGAAGTCTTAATGCCGGGGGTGGGTTCGAGGCACGAAGCAACCCCGAGCTGTGCTGTAGAGAACGGTATTATATTTAAAATAGTGTAGTGTCACACCTGAGACCAGCAGTGCATTAATTATCAGGTATCATAGTAGTTCTTGGAATTTTGTGTAGAACCCATTTTGAACAATGTAAAATTTACTACCCACCGCGTGAATGCTTAATAACATTCATTTACTGTTTCAGTGACGGAGTACTTGGAAAAAGGGTGGGTCTGTGGTCATTCGCTACATCATTTGGCGCAGCTCTCTCGGGGATGTGCCTGAGTCGGAAGGCTTTAGCGACGGACAAATATGGAAATACTTCGTCACATGCCTGGAAGGACTAGATTACTGTAATCATACCCTTGACTCAGCTGCTAAAACGCTGTGCTTCAGTACATCGCGTTCAAATTGTTCATCGAGATATCAACCCGAACAACCTACTGCGTACCACAGAAGAGCAGATCAAGGTGAGTCAGAGTTCCATAATAATAACAATAACAATNCAGAGTTCCGTAATAATAACAATAATAATGACGATCATTCAGCCGTAACACTCTTTCGGTGCCTATGTGTCATGCCACATGAAGGAAGCACGAGGGCTGACATACTATCAGATTACCCAACACTAGACAGAACCAGTCGATATGCTGAAGTTGGTTTCGAACCTCGGACCCTCCGGTCAGTAATTTCGCGCCTTAACCACTGAGGTATTTCGAGCCCAAGTCAAAGTTTGGAATGCATGATACGTGAGTAGCCCCCGAAGCTATTTAAAGGCGATGGACTGCACTATGTTGCGATAACGATGTAGTTGAAGTTGAACACTGTGTTCAAGACGACCAATCCATCAGAAAATGAGACGCGACTAATCGATGTACCGTGGTATCTTAGAGATGAGTCAATCTCTGCAGGCAACAATTTTGCCCAATGTGCGTGAGCTGTCCATATAAATGCGGTGCACACAACTCTTTTGATTACAGGAATGATTCCAATACGTCCTGCACGATGTTAAATGTGGAAAGTTTGGTGACTGTCCACATTTGATCATGGCAAAAAAGGCGACCGAGTCTTTGAGTAAATGCTAAAAAATAAGCACGTACATGTGGATATTACACCAAATATTTACAGCTGCTCTAGCAATCATACTGTTGACATGGGAAGGGTGGACAGATGTATCACAGTCAAGTGTCGTTGATAGTCAGCTTTCAAAAAGGCCTTTTTCCTGTAGCGGTGCTGGGTAGTACATAACTCACAATGTGGGGCACCGGGAAACCTTCTCCTCTAAGTACCTGGAAGTATTTCGAGAACGGTCAGTCAAGGGTCGATCAACCTGACAGAGACCAGAGGAGGTAGTGGACAGACCGATCACCAGCTAAATTTGTTTGCTGCTATTTAGCAAGAGAGTGACCATATGAAGAGTTGGATTTGTCAACAGTCTCCTTATTACCCAATGGAGTTAGCCGGTAAACGGCGACCGGAGGTGATGAAAAATTGTTTGTCTCCTTGTAAAAAACAGACAGATTCTTACAGACAACAACTGGGTTCATCCCGAAAAAATGAGTAACCAAAGTGACAGATCAGCCACTGGAAGTTATGACGTCAACAGAAAAGGTCGCTTCGCTAAGAAGTGACCCAATCCGGTAGTTTGTACGCCCCAATACTCCGTGGTGCGAATGTAAAAAGGGATCACTGGTATCAACAGATTTGCCTCAGTTACGTTATCTCTTTACTCTGTTTCATTCTCGAAATGCGCGGTAATTCTTGCGGAACCACATATGATCAGATGTGACGAGTGGCAGTGTCCTCGGTAGTCCAGCAGGTGGAGGATCCGCCCAAAAAATGTGAGGGGTAGTGATCGGGGTCCATTCCCGGGTATTTGTATTATTGCCCATATGGTGCCCAATTTGACTTCCGATTCAAAATATCCTAGAGCACTTGGTCCATCTGTTCCGAAAAAAGACTTAGAACAGAGTAAACAGGTCGGTTGTACCACCTTTTCGGTACACAGTTGTCAAGTAAGCACGCAGACCGAGATATTACAAGTCACCCAGGTCTGCTCTGAAACAATCGGAAGTTAGAACTGGACTGAGACCAAGGCCATCGGCTTTGCGCCCGAAGGGCCGACCTTTTTCTGGTTCAATAATAAAATAGTGACTCTTCACACGAGGAACATCCATCTAATGATGTTACTGGACGAAGTGTACAGACTCAAGGTCAAACTTTCCGTAGAGCGGAAAGTCCACAAGGTTCTCACCTCCCAACTATATACGGATGACTTTTGACCCAAAAGATGTCAACTTCAAAATAGGTGTCCACGTTCCCACATAGTGACTTGATTCAGGTGTGAAACAACTAAGTTAGCATTGTGACAAACCAAGTAGGGTTGAGTGAAACATTCAATTTGTGTTCGTTTATAAAAACACATGCCTATATGGAAGCCATCTTACTTCCGTGTAATTAGCAGTAGAGTATTCTTGGACTACCTTCCTGCAAAGCATCTGGTGATTCAAAGGTCCATAAGTTACATGTAATTCCATGCAAAACTATTCGGTTTAAAGCAGTTGTACTCCGATGTAAGAAACGGTGTGTTAGCTACACGTCCAGAACTAGGTTCCGAGTAGCATTGCGTAACCTGAACCGTCGCTCAGCTTGACTGATGCTCATCAAAACGCAATTTGTCGCATTTATAGTACTATCGTTCAGCTGTAGCACCCTTTCGGTGCCTAGCTGCCATGCCACACGAAGAAGGCACGAAGGCTGGGATACCGCCAGGTTGCCCAAACCTAGACAGGGGAATTCGAGAGGCAGAGGTCGGGTCCGAACCGCGGACCTTCCAGTCAGTAAACTCGCGCTCCAACCACTTGGTCCATCCCGTCCCAGGGTACTATGGACTTTCGGGGAACACCTTTTTAGTTTCTTTGCGGTCACTGAAATCAGCGTAAACTTCATTCGGCCTATTCAGTAATTTACACTATTGGTGTTTCATTCACTTCAGGGTCAGCCTTAACTGATTTACCATTGATGCCCGAACTGGGCTGTTATGGAATGCCAGGACCGATGTCCGCATCATCTCACCTGATGAAGATTTTCGTTACCAGTTTCGGGTTACTTGCCAACACTACGGTTTGCGAATTCCGTAGAACACGGTGTGGAAGATTTTGTTCATCACTCGCATGGGGTTGATATACCGGAGTGGAGGATTGAGGACATGTTGAATAACGATATCAGTGGCGTTCATGCTGTCAGTTTCTATTTAGATTGACTGTCTGGCTGTCAGAGGTGTAGGCACCGCGGATAAAGGCTAGCCTGAAGTTTCCCCCATCCCATTTCTTTTAACGTTCTATTGCAAGGTTGTTCAAATAAATTGATAAAGTTGTAGGGCAGTGAAGCACTGGTCTTCTCCTCCGGTGACTCTGTCAAGAATAATGATCATGGGGTTGCTCTGAATTAGTCACGTGTAACACGGTTGGAGTTGATTAGCGCAGTATTCATCACCCTCAGTGTCAAACAGTTGCCACGGTTTTTCTATGGCTAAACTCAACTCGCTTATTCTCAGATAGTCCCATATAGTTCGACGATCAGAGTGGCTACAGATAGACCAATTGTTGGATGCGTTTTTCGTTATGTTTTATATATTCTTATAACCCCGAAGAGGCAAGTCATACTAGATGAGCTTCATCCTTCGTTCAGCCTGCTATCCACTTTTGTTTTCGACTAGCGGTCATACCTCTACGAAGCACCATTCAGGAGACCGATTTGCCACTTTCCCTTAACCCGCCATATTGAGAAACCCCATCCCAGTAAACGTGTGGCATAAAACTTTCTAGATGCGACACAGCTAACCAATCGCACCGAGTGATGTGATGTCTTATAACATATCGAACGGACCGAAATGACATCAAATAGCTAGAAGCAAGGAAAACTTTTAGTGGAATGTGTTATCCCTGTCAGGCCAATAACATTCAGAATTGAGTATAAAAGTAAACTATTCTCACCCCTAACGAGTTCACCCAATCTGATCAACAGACACCATCCTCGGACGCAGTGCGCATTGGAAAACATAGTGGCAATATTAAAGCCCACTTCAACCTCTCAAGCTTTCTTTCCGTTCCAGATAACAGATTTTGGTCTGAGCGAGGAATATGCTGAAGACCGACCGCTTAGAGGTACGATCGGAACCCCGCAGTACCTAGCACCAGAATGTGTGAAGGAACCTGGTGAACCGTACGACGGGAAGGTAAGCCAACGGTTTTCGAAAAACTCAACATTTATTCTAGCCCGTGGACGTTTGGGCCTTAGGAATGACCTTGTATTGGATGATACAACGAGAAGTAAGTGATCCAAATATGGTCTACACTGAACTGCGTTAGAACTATTACGACGGCGAGAACAAATACGATATCTTTGAAAAAATACAGAGAGAACCCGTAGTCGTGGAAAGGCAAGTTGAATATGTTATTGTTATGATAACTTATGCAGCAAGATAACAACCCCACAGTTCTTGCAGATTCTACAACAGATATTTCGAACAGACCCTCTTCTAAGGGCAACAACGACCGCCTTGAAATTGAAAATAGAGGTAAGATCGAAAACACCACTGGTTGCCTTACAATAACTCAAACTATATTTGCACTGGTACAGACAGACAAAGATTGGTACAATGGTGAGCCATCAGACACTGCTCAACAGCACCAATGATGTCGAGGATGAAAGTCCCATACGCAAACAAGATGGCATATAAAAATGTGTGGAGGGGCTTCCAACGCAAGAATATTGTGGTATTGGAATTATGTTTTACATGAGAGGAGGATGGGGGCTGCTTTGGGGAAACCGTCGCCCCAGAAACAGTCTTGAGGGCTATGCAGACACCTTGGCTTTGGCCTCTTGAGCTTGCTTTTGTTCTTGCTGAAGTCGCTTGTTTTGAATTCGTTGAACGATCCGTTCTAGGAGGCGTTTGGCTTCACATTCGGGGAAATTTGACATGTCGTAATACTGGGGAGCAATTCTGACAAGCCTGCAAGATAGAAGAGCGTAAATTAAACAAGGGGAAGTGCGGAGTTGGGATTAGGAAAAGGATGAATAGACCTGTCGTCTTGATCCAATCGAGTCCTCTCAGACACTTGGACCCAAGGCAACTACCATTCGAACGTAAGAAAAAAGGTAGTTCGATCCAGTAGCCAGCAGTCGTCGTATCGGAAATAGATGGATTCTATCTAAAAATCGGTTTCTAGAAGAAACACCGGAACCGACGACAGACTCTACTAAGGATCCTCTGAACCGATAGGTAGACTTTCGCAACGTATTACACAGGCTACCACCAAAAGTCAACTCTTGATAACTAATCGCCTGCGAGAGCTCAGCTGTTGGGGATAAACGAACACATACTAGCTAGCCAAAAACTGAATAGGCAACAAGGTTGACGCAGCAAAACGAACTTACCAATCAGGTTTGACTTCGGTCACCGTGCGGATGTAGTTCTTAGTGGTCAGCACAAATTCGTTGTATAAAACCCATTCCGGTTTGTGATCTAATACAGTTGAAGGATGGAGCTGCACAACTTGATTGTCTTTCACAGTTAGATAATGTCCAGTCCTTTCGAGGTGGGCCACCTAAAAGTGGAATTTCAGTAAATCAGATGGACACATATCAGATCTCAATAAAAAGCAATGGGCCTGAGAAACGTGCGCCAAACTGTGGTATAGGTAAGGCTGAACAAACAACAGTCCATGCAGTAATTGTGCAGTCATCTCAGAAGTATGAAAATCCTCCCGGAACAGATAGTATCGTACTTCATCTGCATCCAGCCAAAGAACCAATGGGGAATCATCAAACCGACGCAGCAGTCTGATGCTGTCCACTAGCCAGGCGGAATTCCGCACCGATACCACTCGCAGTTAAGCTCTGCTACGGCCTACACGCGATTGGATGAAAGATCGGGCCGCTTATCGGTCCAACATCAAGGTGTGCTCTGATTAATCGAAAGTCTGGGCCCAAAGCCCATTTTTATGATAGAGTATTCGCCCAATGCCGGTTGCCAATGGCAAATCCAGAAGGCGTCAGAATTTCCAGAATGTCGTTGCCACAAACCCTTAATAAAAGGGTGCCTTTTTGCTTTTAAAAAGTGCTTTTTTTACCTGGTTTCGTGTATGAATACAAGTTGTGTACCTTTGGTGGTTGCTTTGACGGGAACGCTAGCTTGAAACTTCAGACCGAGGAATAAGCTTAGAAAATATCGTTATTACACTATTCGATTCACTCTGTGACACCTACTGGTGTGGACAGTACTAAGAAAACCAAATGCAGCTAAATTGTTTTCCAAGTGTTTCAGTTCGAAGTGCTCTAATGAAGTCGGAAGATTTGACCGGTCCAGCTCTCAAAGGGAACACTTAAACATTGATTTTGACAGGAGAAACCTGTGATGGGGTAGCACTTTAAGGCAAGCATTCATCGTCCGGACGTACGTGAACCAAAAAGACGCTACACCTAGGATAGTACAAATGTTATGCTTCATTATGGGTCCTTATAGATAAGGAAGCTCGTTATGTGAAATTGTACAACAAAGTTGTAGCTATTCTTACTTGAGCCTAACAAACATGCTGTTGCATAGTTATTAAAAATTCGAACCAAAAGTTAGACAAGCTCACCCAGGCCATGTGTGTGAAGACCTTAAAGGCAACACTAAGTTAATTATCACCAGCAGCGAGTCTGTTTTGCCTTTAACTGGGTTACTGAGAGCAGGAGAACAAGAATTCGTTCCAAAAACTTCATCCGAAAAAGTATCAGTTTCAATCACAGGGATACGAGCCTCGGTTTAGTTGTAACCCCACCTACAGTGAAGCCTCAACTACGTACATGAGATGTCCATCCGAAAGAATCAGGCAGAATTTCGACCAGGTAAAGGATACAATTACCATATAATCGCATCACATGAACCGTGCCATGCACCCCACCGACTGACAATCGCTGTTACCGTCGTCCTCAAAGGCACTTTCGTACCTATGTCTCGACACAGGAGAGTGCTTTTGGAAACTCGTTATCCTGTTCATTCTTCTACTTCAGTAAGCATTGAGGTTTACCAAAAACTATCCAAAAGTTCTCTCACGTGGTCGTGTTCTCTTGCCCTTCCGATTCAATTTTGTCATCGGTATCTCAGGTTGTCCACAAAGAAGTGTTGCTTGTTGTTTGGTGATCTGCCGGGAACTCCAAGTCATCAAACGAAGCTTGGTAGGTTAGGGCGCTCGTAACACATGTTGCGTACGTTCACCCACTGTCCACAAAGAATGTTTTGCTTTCAGCCTGTGAAAGGTTGGCGGCGGAAGGATCATGACACCGCAGGGCGAATGGAAACCAGGAACTGCCAAATCAAGCTAGGCGGAATCTCAGCATATTTTGGGGTGGGGTCCATGTGACTCCCTACACATGGTTTAAAACCCACAATACTAGCACACAACTCACCCCGACTGAGAGGATTTCGTCACTTCTTAGCCGGACTACTAAGCATAAGTCTCCCCGTTGTCTTATGACTTCTTTGTGCTGAAAGAGGTTCACCAAAGATGCTGGATCATGCCCACTGGTGGTATCTTATTCTGACAAGATTCTTAGTTGGAATTCTCTCCCAGCTTTTTCCCCAGTGAGAAGTGACTTTCTGCCATAGACAGCCACCCTTCCCATTTCTTGTGGCTCTTCAACAGGGCATTCTTCCTCCACAGTTGTGTGGCCACCAGACATTAGTCTTTACTAATGGTGTACTGCTGCCACTGATAACGATGGTCTGAGGATAAGCAAAATGGTCATTTACCTGAGACGAAGGCTTGCAGCAAACCAGTTTGAGCCGAATGATTGTAAAAGTGCCTAGTTGGAGTAGAGAACTGCACAACGTTGAAAACCAGATGGCCTTAGGAATTTGCAACTCTCCCACGATAGATGAATTATCCATGCTTCATAGGCTACGCTGGTCAGGACATGTAGCACGCATGGAAGGGGACCACTTGCCTCGCAGAGCTCTTTTCGCCCAGCCCTGTGGTGAGTAGAACCGACCGAGAGGTGGTCAGTGTATGACCTGGTAATGAAGTATGAAAACTAACCTGCAAACGGAATCGCCTTGACAAATGCTATCTCTCTGGATGAGGACCTCGGGATTCAACTCATCAATGTTTAGTGACATTGGCAGAAATGACCCAATCGCGTAGTCAATGGCGCTCATGCATAAAAGCTATCGTCTTCAGTGCGTAGCTATCCAGTTCTCGAACTAACTGAACATTGAATCACCTCCAAGGCACAGCTGTGTGACCCAAACGCTCACACTTTCGGGTGATCGAAACTGCAGCAGCTGGAACCATTGTGCCCATGGTAAGGTTCACAGCTGACAAATTGATTGATTGCATCACAAAAGTAATAGCCTTGGAGGAGAAATATCACCCGATGCGTAAACGGAACATGTCAGTTGATAGCTCCAACTATTTAGCTGCATGCTCTGAGGTGCTATTGGAGGGAAGCAGCAGTAGGAGCTATCAGTCAGTATCGTCCGAGACTAATATTCTTCACATGATTTGCTGCTCAAAATGGTTGGTTTAGGCGAGCATCTTTCGGTTAATCGGATATAAGGGTATCAAACGAGTTGAAAAGTGGTGCCATGAAGAAAACTCCTCGATGCACTTTGATGTTATTATGCTAACAAATAGTAATTTTGCACGTTTTGCCCGATAATAAGACTATGGTAGTTTCAAGCGGGCAAAAATATCTAAAAACCAACCTAGCTTTTTTGCTGTAAAGCCACGGCCATTCTCGGGTTGGAGTCTGTAGTTAAAGCCATTTCATACGGAAACTCGACTGCACCTTCTACAGTTTGAATAAGCTCCAGCTATTACGGCCTCAATCGACAAAGTTCGGGACGGGGGCATTCTGTCCACCAGACACCTAATGAAAAAACCCTAAATGTGAAGTGGCAAGCTTTCGGTGAACACGATAAAGTTGACAAGTACGATACACGAGGATGACTGGCCGCATAACTAAGGCGTGTCAATATTTCTCCTGCTTTGGAGTTGTTTGGTTAAATTTTCCAGCAACAGACCGTGGGAAACTCGGTTCAAGATGCAACATCTTTGTTCACCACTGATAAAAAAGGATGAGGACTACCGCGTGTTGCAGACGATCGAATAACGAGTTCGCAGACATAAAATCCTTCAGTTTAACTCGTGACGCAGGAACTGGGGTAGCTACACACTTAATACGATAGCTTTACTGCGTAGGCGTTACTGGGTCAGATTTGTTGGTGTCGCTAACTATTGATGGGTCCGATCCCGAAGTCCGGGAACACGGCAGTTGCTGATAAGACTCAGTTCACACGTCAGGCAAAGTGGTGGACTGACAACCTTTGAGTGGCGGCCAATCTGCACATGACCGGGAAAAAAACCGTGCGTGAGGTAGACGGTCCTCTAAGATGCAAAGTACGCGTCCCGATTTATGGAGTATGAATAGTCTGTTTATTGTGGATGAATAGCTCCTGTTAAAACCATGCACCCCTCTTTAGGATTATTGGTCTAACATCCCTACCAAACTTGATAACGCTTCTGGGAAAGCAACGGTTAAAGTATTTAAAAAGCGATATCAGGGGTAGATTATACAACACCGCAGTGCATTCGACCATCGGGAAAAGAGCCACTATGACATGGGTGAAAACTTCAGAATTTTGGAAGTCATTGTCTGCCATCTAATAGGACCATCAGATCGGTAAAGCTACCTATCATCCCCGATAGGTAATTTAGTCACACTTCATCGGCAACTTTGATCAAGTCTGACATTGTGCTTACCGGAACACGCTACAATAGTACATGTATCATCGGTTTGCATTCAAATACCGCAACCGCGAACTGAGATAACGTTTTGTATAGGAAGCACTTACTCGCTAACATTAGCGCAGATGAAAAATAGACTATAAAGAACAAGAAACTCATGAAAAGATAACAGGAGAAAGAAAACGAAGACAATAAACGAGAGATCCAGGCGGGACTAAGATGAGTCTTTCGTGAAAACCAAAATCGCATACAAATGAGTGTACTTGTCGAATTCCATGCAGTTAGACTCACGCGGAACATAAAAATAACGGAACCCGGGGGACTGCACCTACGTGAGGAGTCTCAAAAAAGCCGAAACCAGTCGTGGCAAACCTATGATTAGTGTGTTACGTTTATAAAACGGTAATTTAATTCGACGAGTAAAGAAATGCATTCTAACTGAGCGATACACTTGCAGATGAGCATACAGATAGAAAGAAAAAAACGATCCCTCCAGAAATAGGCCAAAAAAGAGGAATAACAATGATTCCAAAGGGCTAGCCATTTAGACGAGGCGGTGACATGAACAAAATGAAACTGAAACTAATATATACCAATATAATAGATGAGGTTATACACACCCATACATGTGAACTTGGAGAATAAAAAAGCGCGATTTTGAGGGAGGCAACCTACCTGCATGAAGAAACCAGACACTAATGCTTTTCGGATGTTGAGGTAGTAATCACGAGAGCTGAAGTCCGTGCTGGATCGCCGTAGACAAAACCTGTCCATGATTCGCGACAGTTGGACACGTACGTTGTCGGCGGATTTCAGTGAGCGGAAATTGACGAAATTGTCATAACACCATTGCGGATCTTCGTGATCTGGAAAACAGACGAGATAAAAAAAAAGTGACTGGGGTGGCCCTCTCCAACCGTCCACATCTAGGGGACGGGGACAAGCGTTCAATACCGACGTTCCCTCAGTGAAGTCAACTGTGTCATTAGGTTGTGACAGCAGACCATTGAGTCAGTGTAGGATAATGAATGGCTGAGGGTAGTAAATATGCGACCGTATGCCAAGAGTTCATATGCAGAAAAAGCACAGATCGCAAGTGAGGACAGACGCTAAGAAGAAGTCACCTCGCAATAAAAACGGTGTGGAAACGTATCTAAAACAAAGATAGTATTGACGTGACACCCCCATGGTATGAGCCATCATATAATAAGGCAGTAAGGTGACATTGGAGGATCCGTTGACTAAGACGTAAGACAGTAAGATGTTCCTTCCAGATACCCATCACTTCCAGACTGAATCAAACTGGTTGCAAACCACACTTTCGGTCTCAAATACGACCGTCTGATAGACTTCTACAATGACAAGAGCAGTGAGGCTAGCTCCCGCAGCCAACTGGATCAGATATTTAGGTCCCCTCAAGATAACCCAACCACTCGTTGACTTGCTGCTCAGACTAGCAGGCTGAATATCCGAAAATAAACCGAAATTCAAAACTGTGACGAAACCCGATGGTGTGCAAGCAGGAAGCGAAACTGATGGAGACGCAGAGACTAAGCCCACTTGATGAGCCAAAAAAATGATGAAATTAGTAACAGGCTGTACAGTTTTCATGGGCCTTATGAATAATACTGAAACGAAGATATTCTGTTTGTGGAGAAGAATCACCCGACCACTTAAGTTTGGAACCTAGAACACCGGAACTCTACTGGATCATAAGAGTGATAGGCACCATAGGTTGATAGCACTTACTGGCAAGGAACTCTGAACCTGACTTCGAAAATGTGGCGTTCGGTGAAGAACAGGGAGAGTTTGGTGGGGGGGGGGCTGTATACACATTCTGGACAGGCGTCTCAAAGGACAGTTGATGGGAGTTGGATTAGCAATATGCAGGAACTGGCCTGCAAGAATCGTTGGTGAAGCAAACCGCACCAGTTAAAAATGATGACAATTCGAATCCAACTCACAAGAGGGCTAAGTGCCCAAAGTGTCCCACCGCGAAGCAGCGATTGGTTTTGCAGCACAACGTTTCCCTGAAGTTATCCCAAAAGAGCACCTATGACCCACATGACAGAGTTTAAGCTACTGTCTCTACAGCGATTTTCAGAAGCAGCATCACATATATCGCATTCCAATTGTTAGTAAATAACGACTGTTTTATCAACAACTGTCATATCGAGTTTCCGGTTGACTCTTCCAGATGTTTTCTGCAGCACTGCTGATTCCGTTTTTCGATCGAGACCATCCATACAAAATTAGAGCGTTGGTGCCACTGAAAACGTAATTTTGTGGATGTGCAAAGCTCTTTCTCATTGATCCAAAAGACTGTAGCCCTGAAGCTGAGGAACGCAGTTTCTGTCGGAGTTCGGTACGGCCGAACAGCACGATGGAAAACCCATACAACTTTATTTTGGTGAATGAGTTGAATACCCAAGTCGTTCGAACACGTTGCAAAGAGACCAATTTTTCAGACCTGCATAGGCAACAGTGAGTGACTTCAATTACGTACTGATCACTGCTTGTCACTAGTGGTCAAGAACTTCAAAGACAAGCGGTGACAACGTTACTGCGGTCACCAACTGCAAATCGGTCATGGACTCAGCCGGGTCATGTGGCAATCCGCTGCCAGTGGAGCTATCGCACTCTACCATGTCATATTAAGGGCGCAAATATCAATTTGCTTCCTTTTCGAAACACGTAGACCGATGCAGAAGGGTCATCACATCACCACCAATAGGCTTCCGTAATCTAACAATATACAGCGGAGCTAACTCAAAAATTGTTAAGAACGACCCAGCAAGATGAAAACAATGAGACGATGGATGCCAAGTAAGAGAGACTGTACTCATGGCTTTTAGCACCGTCTGACCGGGTTCTCTGATAAGACTGACTGACCACTGAGTGTCATCACGATCATCAACTGTGGCTGATATCAGAAAAACTTACGATTACGACGCCAGATGCAGGTCGTTCAAACATCGAATAGTAGAGTGCTTAAGATACAGAATCAAGCACTGACAAACAGCGAAAACCTGGGTAGAGAACTGACTATCACATCCTATTTCAACTGACTCAACCAACCCGACCGCACTGAGCAGATGACAGGACAGCAGTTCACTCACACGTGAAACTGAGTTGTCCTGAACAGTGGGCAGAACACTTTAGGGGAAAAGTGACTCAACTGGACTTTATCACGAAATTTCGATACCGTAAGCGGACACGAGTAAGGGGACTTGAAACACAGAAATGGGAAGCGAAATTTTACTAGTAAGATGTGATAAGTCGCTGGGCCTGGATGGCATACATTCTGAATTAATTGGAAAACGTGATGAAGCACTGATAACCCGCCTTGAAGGGTGCAACTTTCAGCATAAAGGGAAAAGGCGTTCAGCTGTAACATCCTTTCGGTGCCTAGCTGCCATGCCACCCAGAGGAGGCACGAAGGCTGGGATACTGCCAGGTTGCCCAAGCCTAGACAGGGGAAGTTGAGAGGCAGAGGTTGGGTTGGAACCACCGACCATCCGGTTAGTAAATTCGCGATCTAACCACTGAGCCATCTCACCCCCCCCCCCAACTTTCAGCATCGTCACTATCGCCCTAAGTCTCACAGTACTCTACTTATTCTAGCTCGTGCGCGCTGGCTTCAGAGACGGAGCAGCCGAAAAGCTCATTAATGAAACAACTCTAAAAACTGATCGGAATCTACACTGAAGATCAGGCATCTTAAAAAAAGGGTGATGAGACCACCTGACAAAACCGTCCACCAGCATGATAACCATTGCGTCCGAAGCGTCCATTGGCACTGGCTTGTATGGAGTGATCGATTACTAGGTGAATCAGATTCGTGGGAATGGAGTTAGGTTTCGACCTGGGGAGGATGCACTGACCACCACACCGCAGCAGACATTTGGATGCCACCATACCTATCAGTGAGAAATTAGGATTGCTTTCTTTTACCTGAAGGTTGCCTTCAACCTGTTCTTGGTCACGCACTATAGCTGTGCTTGTATTCACGGGTTGGATTCAGAGATCTGTCTACAGACCCACGTGGACGGGATAGTACACAAGTCTCCATAGTTCAGCGTCAGTGAAGCGCAAACGAATCCCGATTTAGACGTCATACACTACTCATAAGGTTGCTGAAAATTCTTCGACAACCCACGACCGGTTTCACCCTTCTTAGGGCTCGTCTGGTAGGCGCTGTCATGGGCTGTCGAAGAATTTTCAGCTACCTCATGAGTAATGTACTAAGTATCGTGCTATCTGAAATATCGTACCAGCCGAAACATGAGGTCTGATGCAACACGTTCCGTTGCTTAGAGACATCATTAACGAGAGATTCAGCTGGGTTCCAGCAGAGTCTGTCGCAAAACCAAATTTGCTTGCAAATGAGTGTACTTCGCGAACTCTGATTCACTTAATAACCAATCGAGCAAGCTGAGTTTGTCCTGCGGATATACTGGACTCGGAACTGAAGCACATCGCTGAAGTGTTCACAGCTAACGGTTGTCCAGAGGTCTATGGCCAAGAACATAACTGAACATCCAAGTAGACTGTTAAGACCGTTTCATGGAAGTCAATCCACCTGAGTCTACCCTAAAGACGGTTTGTTGGCAGACAGTCAATCGCCGCTTGTTTCAGTCCCTGGAGAGGTCGTTTCTGGCTGGAACTCTGGTTTACAACCAACCCTTTACTCAACTTAAACCTCAAAGACAATATGCCACTCCGCGCTCGGAATATGGCTATGTATTCCACTTCCTGTTGCTATACAGTGGAATATGTTGGGCGCACAAGGATAACTCCCTTACCGAAATAGTGGCTCATAATAGTGCGTCACACTATTGACACTGGTTACATGGTCAACCCAAACGACTCTTGACGACGATCTCTCCATTTCTTGTCAGACGAATTCATTAGCATTTGTGACCTACCGGTGGCACGAATTTTGGAAAAGAAGCATGTTAAACTCACTCTGTTTGAATGCGTGATAGACGTTGAGCATTGTGAGATGATCACCGTCAATGTGTGCGAACCTCATTTTCGCCTCATCTGCCGACTTCTTTGCATCTGCTGGCCGAACGAAGCATTGGGGAACTGAAACCAGAATACAACACATATACAAGAACGATCGGTATTGACTGTCCATGAGGTATCTTTCAAGGAGGGTTACTGTAATGGTAGTACTGTTTGAGAAGCTCTCTGCACCCTGAATCATTTGTGTCTAGGTCAAAGGAAGTTGACAGTAGTGGACAATGTAAACATATGCGAGATATTTGGGTAGATACGATTCCGTTGAATATATTGGTTACCAGGCTTGTGCACGATAAAACAGAACCTCACTGACATCACCCTTTGCGTGTGACAGACAAATTAACCAATTCGTCTGGGTCGAATAGTCTATACAGTACAATCAACACTGACCTGACAGCATAGCGGTTATGCTGAGTACTTCGTTTGAACAGTTGAAATCACACGAGGCAATCACCATTTTGGCCAACTGGGGGTCCAGGGGGAATTCTGCCATCATACTGCCTAAGTCAGTAAGGTTACCGTCATCATCGAGAGCAGCGAGGTAGTTCAACAACTCCAGCGCACGCATCAGGGTTTCCGGGGCTACGAAAAGAACGTGTAGGGAAGGAACATAGATTGAGTCGAATGGCATGGTAAACTGGTATTTGCGGACGAATCTAGAGGGAATCATTTTCAGAACAATTGGGACCGAAGGATCCCAAAAACAGTAAAGAAAAAAGGTTATCCCCAACCGCTGTTACTGCCCGCTGCAACGCACTGGTGTGGCACGGTATTGTGCGAACTGTTTATAGCGAACTTTATAAACTCTACCTAGCAATCATCAAGCAATCCACCGAAGTGCTTGCAGAAAATACAGTACTTAAATCAAGAGTCATCCCCCCCGTACAATAAACCCACAAGGGAGAAGAGCTTGTGGATTACGAAGAGGACCGTCGTAGACTGTCCGATGGAGTGCCTTCTCGGAAAGACTGCTGCAAACCGCCTAAACATCCGAACAAACCACGAGATTCGTGGTAGTACACCACAGTGCCATCAGAATACAGCGTGTACTTATTGAGTCAGAGAACGAGAGGAAGTCACAATCAGCCAACTAATACCGCTTGAGACGGTTTTGGATGCATTGCTGTGAGAGAGTGTAGACTGAAGACCACAGGACCTTCAAGAATTTAGCTAGTTCCTACACCGAAAACTCGGTAATGAAGTGCCACGCTACTTGAAAAATAGACTAGATTTTGACAAGGCTAAAATGAAGTGGCAGGAATAAAGAATGGTGAGGTAACCAAGAGAGGATTCGGAATGCCAGGACGATGTCACATACCAAATCACAAACACATATAGACGCATGAATGTGACCATTTGAAAGGCGTTAAGCAAGGTCCAGTGTATCCAGCGAAGATCACAAACAGCACGTACGATGAAGGAAAAGGCATTGAAAAATAAGACAATATGTGATACATCGCACACACACACACACACCAGGGGGATCCATAAAGTCAAAATGGACTAGGTCATCAATGCCTAGTTTTTTCAACTGCAGTACGACTGTGCCTAAGTTGGATCGTAAGATCTCTGGATATGTGTTTTCTTGCATCTCATTTGCATAGGCTTTCTCGGTGTACAGTCGGAAACATTTCCCCGGTTTCGTTCTTCCGGCGCGACCCGCACGCTGTTGAGCTGAGGCTTTACTGATCGCTGTTACCAGCAAAGATTCCACACGAATGCGAGGGTTGTAGACTTTTTGTTTGGCGAACCCCGGATCGATCACGAACACGACACCATCGATAGTGAGTGACGTTTCTGCAATGTTTGTTGATACGACCACCTAGAAATAAAAAAAGCAGAAGATTCAGAAACGTACAGATTCCACAAGTAAGACATAAAGACACAGAAGATGTGGAAGTTAAGGAGTTTCGGATTAGCGTAAGGGGGACTATTGTTTTTAAGGAACGCGCTGCTCATCGAGTGCCCGTAATCCACAGGTCAACTGGATGAGTGCTGCATTCTAAGATCACCGGTCGACCGCCTGTATGTGCTGCATCATGGCGCCGTTTCATTGGCAGAGCCAATACTTCGCCCACAGCCTGCATTGCATTTGCCGGGTTTGAGGATCGTTCAGCTGTCATGGAATTACCTTAACTGGTTCGAATAGTGCGTTCGAGGGCTATTGGGACAGTCTCTGAAGCTGGATAAATCAATTATCTTTTTTTCAATCAGAAACACTCGATAGCAGGTCCGTTTCCGCTGAAAAAAGTCGTTCAGCTGTAGCACCCTTTCGACGTCTACACGCCATGTCACCAGAAGGAAGCACGAGGGCTGGGATACTGCCAGACTACCCAAGCCTAGACAGCGGAAGGCGGAGGTCGGATTCGAACCAGTGGACCTTCCGGTCAGTAAATTCGCGCTCTAATCACTGAGCCATTTAAGTGAACTTGTGAGGAATACTTGATGGTAAGTTGTGAACAGCGTACTATGGAACGAGATATTTGATCGTTTGACTGAGTACCGAAATGTCGTTGCCATAGAACTAAATAAACGAATTTTCTTGAAATGCATCTAACACACAGTACCCCCAATCAGGCACTGTTACGTAGAGCTCAGTATTCTCTTAGTAAAAAGGTCCTATATCGATAATGAAATTACAAAGATACCTCGGTCTGGACTTCCAAGTGTTTGAAACAAGTGTGTGAGGCATAGATCAAAGTAAACAGAAAAACATCAGTTCTGGTGGATAGTTCTAACCAGACGTGTGCGATAAAGCTGGAACCGGATACAAGGGATATATGTTATCCGATTCCGAAATAAATCCACAAGGTGTGAGGAAATTTCCATGGAGGCAGAGGGATCAAGAGAATGAAAAGATTCCTGTTTCGAAATTCCCGCAACTAACTCTATTAAAGTGTAATCAAATTACTTCGTTAATCCGGCAGTGAGCAAAATGGCTTGGCATACCTTTTGTTTCAACATATTAATTGCATATTGATTCACAGACTAAATGGTACAACAGAATGATATTGCTATCCGCGTTCAACCGAGCAGAATCGCGGATACGACATCGGCGGACGGAAGCAGTACTGATATGCTCGACCTACACCAGAATCTGAATGGTATGTAAAAATACGTTGCTTAGTGTCAATCTGCTACGATTATAACTTCCAGGGAGACTCCATTCTATGCACTCCGAGGAAGCGACATTGATCCAACTTGTCAACAGAAGGTTGTCATACAAGTTCCTATTTCGGTGCAAACGTTGATACATGCAGACTTGATCCAAGCTATTGCCTTCAATGCATAGCTCCTTTCCCAACCCCCCACTTAACAGCCCACCTACAGCGCTGTACTTACGCAGGGATTTATTAGCTCGCTTCCAATACGCAGCTATCTACCCCAAACCCAGCCCAAATCATCGGCGAACGAAACTGTGGTATCTACAAACACTGTATGACAAGTACGAGGTTATTACAGCTGACAATCATGATGAGGATGACTTAATCGGCTGCACCACTCAATGAATACAGCATGCATGGGTTTGAGCGTTAAGTCAAGTAAACATCGGTTTAACTGTTCGCTATCCTTGCCGGATGGCCCAAGTGGTTAGAGCGCGAATTTACTGACCGAAAGGTCCGTGGTTCGAATCCGACCTCCGCCACTGGACTTCCCCTGTCTAGGCTTGGGCAACCTGGCAGTATCCCAGCCCTCGTGCTTCCTTCGGGTGGCATGGCAGCTAGGCACCGAAAGGGTGCTACAGCTAAAGGCTATCCTTACCCGGAACCATTCGGATGGATATACCATGCAGACATGAGAAGATCTATTCCTGCTCGTTTGGTAAGCTTCACACTGGTGTGAAGGATGGGCTTCTCTCCTAGTGTGTGGATTTTGGGAAGCATCGTACGAGTATCAAGCTTTACGACGGTGTTCACACACGGCTGATGAAACTATGAAGAGTTGAGCTTCGTTCCAATTAGTAGGAAAAATAGTTTGAGTATCGCTTGTTTACGTAAAAAAAGGCAGACGACACACCCTCCTGGGAGTTAAAGGATCCAGCATCTTACTTAATCAAGCCATGCCTACCTACATATGGACCTGCTATGATCAAGTCTCTAAGTCATCAACGAAAGTCAGCTTTGTTTGGCGGGTGTTTACCAGCCTACTCGAGGTTTCCGAGATGGGCTGACTGATGTTTTCAATAGTCAGGAAACCATTTGTAACAATGTTAAGGATCTTGCGGAGTACGAATGGCTCGGGTGTGCTGCTCGGTTGTCGGTCTGTGCATCGAGCTTGCCGATTAAATTGAAAACGTCTCACCACCAATCGACGTGCCATCGCTGTCAATTAACCGCGCACTGACAATGTCACCTCGATTGGAGGATGAAAAGTTTGCAATCCTACAGCGAAGCTCGGCGAAGAGACCAACAACCAATGTTAACGATGCTTAGTTTAGGGGTAGGATAATGTCACGAAGCTTCGACTGCCGTTGGAACTTTAAGGAGTGACAGGTAACGAGTGATGCACATAAACAGATAAGGCCTAAATCCAAACTCAGGCTCATCTACACCATATTCTGAACGGAATATCCGTTGTCAGAGTAAAACTGGTTACATGCGTGATGAGTAGTCTTGTTCATACTAGACATGCACCTACGGTTGATTTGTTGTAAACCTATTATCACCCTGGCAACCGACGCTGCATAAAGTGGAACCGGTGCGGCCCTACTGGAGCAGTGTCCAAGCTGTTCAAGAACGGTTGCCTCTGATGTACTTTGCTTACCTACCACCCTCCCCCACTTAACGGAGAAAAAGTGCACCCAAATTAGAAAGGTGTCAGCAGTGGTGTTCGTACTACATGGCCAATACCCCTTACTCCACACGGGCCAAACGCAGCTGCTGGCCGTCTCAGAGTCTCCATAGGTCATCCCTTCCATGTTACCATTCGTCTCCCAATCTAGAAGACTAAAATTTCTGACTAAAATCCTAGCAAATTTAAAAAAACCGGCTTCAGCTTTTCGCTGTACCAATACACTATCGCGCGAATAGCTCAACAAGTAAGAAGGCAGGAAACACAGTTCCAACCGATAGCGATATCCGACAAACTGCTCCCGAATCCGTTCAGCACACTCCACTGTCCAGGCAATTGCTCAAGAAGCTATGCAGAACTGTCAGCTGCTTCGGTACTTGAGAAGTGGATGACCAACGGAATCAAATTATGTCAATGGTCGCTTCTTCACAAAGACTTAAGGAATCGTGGATAACTGTCATATGTTGAGTGACCGTATTACCATACCACACAGACTTCGGCGTGAAGCGATGAAACAACCTCTCAGAGGTCGTCTTGGAATTAACAGAATGATTGGTATCACTCGAAAGTATACCCACTGACCTCGACTCATGCGGACGCCGAAGAACTTGTCCGTAAATTCGGACAGTACACGGCGATGGGACTAATCATTTTTTTGCCAGAGCTTGAAAAATCATTGAATTTCACCGATTAGACGAGAGAGCATACGTTCCTGTTCGTATCAAAGTGGTCAGAAGTGTTTATGCAGTACTGAATTTCGGTTGCAGGAATTATATCCATCCCGAGCGGATTATTTTCGTAGTTTGCACTTCTAGAGCACATTTTACGAGTTTGCTCAGTTCTTCTCGCCTCAATAACATTAGACCTCCCTGCTGTCCGTAATCCAACGATCAAGCCGAACGCTTTTTTGATACCCTCAAGCTTGGAAGCATATGTATCAAGCAGAACGTATACAATTGCAAACTACTCTGGCTTTAACGAGACTCAACTGAATCTATCGTTTATGGGGGAGATGGCTCACTGATTGGAAGGCTAATTTACTGACTGGAAGGTCCGTAGTTCGAATCTTGTCCAGGTTTGACCAATCTGGCAGTATCCCAGCCTTCGTGCTTTTTTCGGATGGCATGGCAGCTAGGTATCGAAAGGGTGCTACAGTTGGACGATTTCTCTCGTTGGGCAGCGCATAGGTTTCCTCTCGGAAGTGGTGTTTGCCCACATAATGTACTTTTAGGAGAAGCCAACACATCGAATGACAAAACAACGGTAGTTTAGCCGTAATGCCGTTTCGGTGCCTAGTCGCCATGCCTTTTAAGGAGGTACGAGGGCGAGGTACTTCCGTGTCGCCCAAGCCTTGACGGGAGCGGTCGATATGCTGAGTTGGGTTCAAAGCACAGACCTTCCGTTGACGCCATAACCACTGAGCTATCTTCAGCAAGGGGCCATGTCACACTCCTTCATTTCTGGGGCCCATATTTATGCAGGAGACTATTGGGCAAGCCAAAGTAATTGTTCAGAAATGCCTTATATAAATTCATCTCGTAGCGCCATTTCATTCGAGTAAATCCCAGAGTTACCCAAAAACGCTATCTCACATCGTAATGGTCAAACGTTCCCCAACACGACAGATGGGATATCACTTGGGCTGTAAGCCACCTATCAAGAGGCTTATTAACAACCTACATCTAATACGACAAAACGGGCAGCTGAACATTCTATAGAATTTTTTAAAGAGAAAAGCCGTTTAGTGGTAACCGTATGGCCAATAAGCTTACACTTCTGTTTCCCGTACTGTCCGGGTGTGTTCCCATGCCAAAATTGTTTTTGAACGTATCGCACGTGTTCACAAGCATATCCAGCACTGAGCTAGCAATACCGCGCTTAAGTCTGCTCCCTTAGACAGGCTGGGTAACAGCTGTGTACAAGCAACGTCCACATAGGAAGTACTTCAGTGAGACTTGAGGCACTCTGAAGTACACAGAAAAACTTTTGAATCAATCCAATAAACGACATTCTAGGTCTAACCGGAATACCGTTTGTTCTGTCACTAAACGCCTTATCAACTATTACTACCAGGTTGACATTCCTCAGCCAGTAAAATCACTACAAAATGTGCGAGACTTATTTTGAAGCTTTGCCGATTATATGACATAGACCAGGTTTTTGTTCACAGAAGGGATTCTTTCAGGTGTTGCATCCAGTTCGGTTCCCATGACCCGGTTGTACATCTTTTACCTTAAGTTAGAATCTGAACTTTCACTTTCTAACGCTGATGTATGTGTCACTTTATACGTTAATTATGTGACGTGCACTGCGGTTGAGGAAAGTGTTCAAGATGGTACCAACCCAGACAAATCGTCTTCCTCCTCAAACATCAATAAGACATTCATAATCTTTCTAGCCGATCTAATCCAAAGTGATAACGTCAAAAGGTCACACAAAAATGGATACATCCACACAGTACTATGTTATACATCTCACAGTATACAGGCCCATACTCAGCCGGACTCGCGTAAACCACTCTTATACTTACGTCTGATCACCCTGCTCAAAAACAATAGTCTCCTCGCTTTGCACAAAATTTATTGACCATGTACTTATGTGTCTCAGGACTGGGCTAACAGACCCAATTGAGTCGCCATTATGGAAGCTCATCCGGTCGGGCTGCAACTTCGTTGTTACATGGAGAGTCGGTGGGAGTGAAGTAACTATAACAAATTATGGTGCCACTGCTAATCATGCTGCTCGGTCATTTCGACTGAAAGTCAGCACGCATACTTGTCTTGCCCCGTACGACTTCCCCAGATACCCAAGAATGTTGTGAATACAGATAAGCAAGATATCCATCCAGCGTTCCCACAATGTAACGACATCACATTGCCTAACGATATCCAGGATACCTCCATGACCGACGCCTGGGTACTATTCAGCGGCATGGAGACGACACAAGTAGATCGGTGTGGCTGTATTGCCATGTCTTGTTGTTTGGGCTCCACTGACAGTCTCACTCTCATTCGAGTGCCCTGTGCATACTAGACTCCCAAAGAAAACGATATGAATCTCATCCCAGTGTTTTTACATGACGAACACCAACTAGTGTACCAGGCGTAAAAGTAGCGCGATTGGATTTGCCTCACCTGAAGGTATACTTTCCTTATTTAAAATCGAAGTGATCTACGGTTCAGAAAATATGCCACCAGTTTGACCGTAATTTCAAATCCGGGTAGAAAAACCATACTTTAACTACAAGCCGTGAGAAACTGAAAGTAGTCTCCACACGATCGAAATGGAGAGCATCTATCTGATGACATGTCAAGTCTATTGAAATTATCACTTGTCCCGTTGTCCTCATCGAATGCAACAGAAAACGACGAATGAAGCGTTGTTTAAAAAGGAGCTGAGCAGCTGAAAAAGAACCACACGAAATGCGGCAGGACAATGAACTATTGACAGGTCAGAAGAAAACAGAGTGTCTTGAGGCTAAGTTTGTGCTCTGATTCCACAGAGTGAAACATGTCACGATCGACTCCCTATGATAACACCCTTGATCAGAATGAACACCTGCATTTCGACTCCAGTTATGGAAAAAGTACTCACTTTTCTTCCTATTGCTCCATTGGCACGCTTTGGTGGAGGTGGGTCGAAAATACGTTGTTGTAAGTTTGGGGGGAGGGTAGAATAAAGAGGTATACACCGAAGTTCACCAACATCCGGACCCAAACCCTCGACTTCCCGCTGTATCCGTTTGCAAGCCTCCTCGATCTCCTCCTGGCCTGTCAGAAATAGCAGAATATCTCCCTCAACTTCCTCACACATGTGAATTTGTATCACAGTTCGAATAGCAGCCTCCAAATAATCTCGTTCTGGTTCCGGGGTGTAGAAGATCTCCACCGGATGTGTACGTCCGGGAACTGTCATAAGCGGGGCTTTGAGGAAGTAGTCCTAGGTCATGTCGGAAAGGGAAGAGGGACACATCTTCATCCGAAAAAAAAACACAAAGAAAGCGAATAAAACACACACACAAGGAAACACAACGCGCGTCTAAGGCAATAAACTAGGTCCCAAAGTCCGCCCGCGACTGGACAACAAATCGGCGAAACTAACTTGAAACTTTCCGGACATAAGCGGGGCTTTGAGGAAGTAGTCCTAGGTCATGTCGGAAAGGGAAGAGGGACACATCTTCATCCGAAAAAAGAAAAAAGAAAGCGAATAAAACACACACACACACAAGGAAACACAACGCGCGTCTAAGGCAATAAACTAGGTCCCAAAGTCCGCCCGCGACTGGACAACAAATCGGAGAAACTAACTTGAAACTTTCCGGCATCCAGTGTGGCACTCATGACTACTATTTTCAAATCCAACCGTTGCTTGATAATTTCTTTGAGCAAACCCATCAGGATGTCAGTTGCCAATGTGCGCTCGTGAGCCTCGTCCAACAAGACAACGCCGTAGGCTTCGAGGAGAGGGTCTGACATGCCTTCACGTAACAGCATACCATCGGTCATATACCTAGACAGATGTCGTTAGCAAACAGACATAGACCTACTTCATCACGGTACGGGAGGAGGTGCAATCTTCGAATCGAATGCTGTAACCCACCTCCTGACCAAGCTCAACGTCCATTTCTTCTGAGACACGTTGAGCCACAGACATGGCGGCTACACGCCTCGGCTGAGTACAAGCAACTGCCTTTTTGGTTGGATAACGGCCAGTGATCCACTCTAAACACCACTGTGGTATTTGAGTGGTCTTTCCTGAGCCGGTTTCACCCACCAGGACTGTGACCTATGTAGGACACAACTTATATAGAATGTGGACATTGACCTACCTGATTTTCCGAAATTACTTTGAAAAAATTTTCCTTGTACTCCCATACTGGTAGCTGGATGCGCTTTCGAAACAGGTCAAAATATCTGGCTGAAAAGGGCTTTCCTGAGGGGAGGGAAAATGACAAATTTAGGCGCGTGACCCCAGAATGAAAACGGTGAATAGCTGGACAAACAATGGAGCGAAGGATATTCGCACGACCCAGTCGAACCATCAGTTGTGATCATCAAAGTGGAACCTAGTGCGAGAATTTGTACAAGTATACAAGAATGCAAGTATAAATTCCATAGACATGAAGGCCTGCGGGTCATCTCTACTTTCGTAGCACTATCAGAATGAGCTAGTAGCTGTGGATTAGGAAAAATCATGCTTTGTCTAAGCACTGCCATGAGTAATACTAGGGATAAAAGGGTTCTGACCTATCCTGGATGGTGAGCTCTTACGAGTGATCGTACGCTAAACTGTAGTTGGTGGGGAAGGCTGCTGTGGGCTCACCAGAGAATTATCTTTGAAATGGAACAATATATGAGATCTTCAAACCCCTGTACTCACGATCCCGTTAGCTCACTGCTTCAGGTTACACACATTCCAGCGGCAAACATGCTTTCACTTCCTAGTCAGTCAGCGTAGCTGCATTTGCCGTTTTACCGGGTGGGGATCGTAGAGATGCTGAATCAGTGAATACCTACCGAAAACTACCCTGCTGACCAAACGATGGATAGCTAATTCACCCTTTTTCTCCAGAGCCCTTTTGTTATGCTTGACACAGCAACCCTCACCGCCGTGTAGCAGCTGAATATGCAATGCCCTGTTGTGGATGGAGGTGTGGATGCCGTTTTCGGCATGTAGATCCAATAAATTGTGCTTGGCCGCGTTGGAAATAACTCCAGCTGCGGCGTATGAGACCTTTGACAACAAATGGACCTGTGAAGAAGAGTCCAGTATCGAAATTGCATTGTAAGGTCTATCCATTACTAGGGACGAGCTGTCACACACGACAGCGATTAAATAACGTTCCTTTGTAACGCATTTTCCAAATGCTCTTGTGACGCAATCCTTTTCCGTAGTCGTCTGGCAGTCGGTGGCCGTTAAGCCTTGGGGTGGATCGTATCCACCCCGTTTCAGATACACATCTATTTGATAACATATACATAGAAAAGGGCTATTTTGTCCCATTCTGACAGCTTTTTAGGTTTGATCTTAGTAACTACTGGAGGTAACATTTATTGGCTGTCAGAACCCTGCCAGGTGGTTAGCAGATTGTCTGATGAAACTTTCCTTTTGCACGCTTAACACAAGGGGCTAAGATATGCCTACAATCTCCCAAAACTAAAAATGCCAGCAGTAACCAATATTGAGGCTCGCCTTCAGATTCAGATGCTCGATACTTTCTGATCATCCGTAGACAGATGGTGGTTCGAGGAAATAAGGTAGTTTTCAATACAGATTTCACCCTCTAAGTGAAGCCAATCTGTACCATGCTTCCGCGCTCTTCAGCAAAGACTGGCTTCACTAAAATGAAACGAAATTTCTATTGACAACTCTAGATTGTGAGGAAATATTGGACACTGTACTCTCAAGACAAGAGGCAGAAACGACAGGGCGGAAGATGAGTACCGTTCAATGCCGTATAGGCTGTGAGCGCAACATCCTTCACACGTTATTTCCGAGCCAAACGCTGACCCACTTCACATACTCAACACCGTGGTCGTGGCATAAAAGACGGTTCAAACTCATCAGTGATCCCAGTCAAGAACTGAACAATATGGTATTTTCTCAGCCCTTCCTTCGGATTGCGTGAAAGATGTGCGCTAAAACAGCACTGCAGCTGAATGACCTTTTTGGATTCCCCACAGCACCCGAACGACAGCTTGACGTATGATCATATCAGCACACGGTGTTTAACTTTGGCAAAACGTCTAACACCTTTGCATGTCAGTAAAGGCTGTAAGCGAATTCCTAAAAAAAACTAACCATTGTATGGATTGACCTGTACGGAATAAGAGGTGGGAATTGGCATATGGGCTTTGGAATTATTTCTCTCAGGTGACCGCGACCTTTCACGATTGGAATATCCATCCGGGCCATCAGTAAACCTGGGAGAAGTCGAAAACATGGCAGAAGGTTATGACGTTCTGAGTGATTAACTATTAGCTACAGAGGCTTTAATAAAATGAACACTTGTAACTCTACCGAAAGCCTCATCGTGAATTTACGGAAGATCTGCAGAGAAGGAAAAGGATGAATTAAACGGATCCCAGGTAGGGCGAAAAAACGAGAGCCAGACCACGTTCATGGTTTCGATACATCAAACGAACCACCATTGACACAGGAAACAAGTGCACACTTCGGTAGCTGACTAACACGTGTACACAGGATTTTGTTATTTTTGTAATACATTTTCCAACTGCAGTACGGGTTGTACGGGAATGTTGAGGATGATTTAGAAAGAGGACACCAGTAGTGGTTCTAACAGATGCCATTCAGCTTAGTCTGGCGCATTAATAAAACCTGATGTTCGGAGTGGCTAGATATAGGCTTCATCATATGCCTTTGGATATCGTTCAGCTGTAGCACCCTTTCGGTGCCTAACTGCCATGCTACTCGAAGGAAGCATGAGGACTGGGATACTGCCAAGTTGCCCAAGCCTAGACAAGGGAAGTCAGGAGTCAGAGGTCGGGTTCGAATCAAGAATCTTCCGGTTAGCAACTCCCCGCCCTAATCACTTGAATCCCCTCGATGTACCACTGAATGACTTGCAAGAAAAGGTCATATCTGCGAGTGTTCACATAATTCGTGTAATTTACTACCACCTCGTACACTGATAATTGATCAAAGGCATGTAACCAAAGAGACAAAAAAACCCTTTCTTCGCGGCAGCCTCTCTTCGCGAAGTAACTGGAGTCAATGGAGATTGGTGGAATCAGTAAGGTGGGGTCCTCCTGTTTAAACGAGTGCTGGCTGTTTACCCAGGCGGTTACATCTAATTTTCGAAACTGCAAAGTGCGCCGCTATTTGAAATTCATGGGAGACTTCGAAAGTGAAGGGATTCCAGTGATAGTATACACTAATCAACAACTAAAAATAGAAAACCAAGCAACTTTTACAGCTTGTGCTCCGTAAAAATGAACTCAGGAGTGAGTGATTTTCGAATGAGTGAGCAGTATGCCCCAGTGAAGGAGTGCCGGGGATTCGTCGCAAAAAGTCTTACGTCCCTAAGTGGTTAGCAGCAAAACATTCTCACCTTTCAAAGCACACCTGGGTCTTATCACCAAGCAAGATGGTAATTAAGGGATGACCGAGTCTCTCTGCGAACCTCACTCACCGTATGACAAACAAGCGTTAGACACGTAGGCTGGTCATGAAACACCAACCTCTCCAGTGGGATGAGCTACGAGTTGTTGGATTTTGCTGACAGCCCGTTCTACTACAAACCCTCGTACAACAGGGTATAGGAATTTCCTTGTAATTACACACATGTGCAACTAGAAGCAGAGGCGACGCTTTTGGGGATCTTCCCTACAAGTTTTGGAGTCCGATGCTCACTTCCCTATCCGGTTTAACAATGGGACGGATACTAGATGCCGCGAATTCCGGTATCCACGGTGATGCAGATAAATCTCGTCGACCTGGAATATGCACAGATATTGCCCTCATCTTCGAAATGAAAGAAGTAGAGGTATATCCAAATGACCGGGCTGATTAGGATCATTCCACCTCGCGGTGCGCTTTGAGCTCCCAAACCCTGACTGAAGACGTACAGAACTGCAACATGTCATTTAAAATTCAAGAACAGGTAGTGGAGTTGTGGAGTGCCGGAATCAACCCAAAAACGCAGCTGGGGTGGTGGTGCACATCTGCAATCATCACAAATATGCGCTACTTCCGTTATCATAAATATGACCTCAAGTATCTCAGTTGTAAGTACGAAATTACACTGGGGGGTGTTGTACGGTTGAGTCGTGGTCTATAAGGTTGGTGGATTTGAAACCTTCTTGGGTCTTCGATCATCTACACCACCATCACAAATTACATGGATACACCACTGACACATACTTGAAGTTGACTTCCATAAAGCTATAAGGGGAGAAATCCTTAATAAAGAGCGGAAAGAGTTAGGGACTTAGTGAGAAGGTTTGTGAAATTCCGTGACCCATTCAGCTATACTGGAGGATACCCGTGCAGGGTCCTCAGTCCCATACCACGTTGGTCAAAGGTTAGATGTATGAGCAACAAAATCTCCCGGTAATCCAGGTAAGGAGTTGGGACAGACTTTGGCCGAGAAATCTAATCGTCCTCCTGCCTGAATCTAGGCGTACTGGGAGCACCTCAATCCACGTACAACCACGATACCTACAATTAACAATATTCTCACGCCACACAGGCCGTCGTGTGGTGTCACCAGTCGGGTCACCGTACCTGCTGTATACAGCAGGAAGCACAAGGGCTGGAATACAGCTAGGTTGCCCAAGCCTAGACAGGGAAAGTAGAGATGCAGAGGTCGGTCTGGAACCACGAACCTTCCGGTCGGTAAGCCAGTTATTTAACCACTGAGCCATCCCACTGCATCAGAAGCAATTCAAGATTCAAACACAGCTGTTGAGCTAACTACCCCTTTATACCCCACTCGCTTCCCGCTGTGTACATCCGCCGCTCCAGAGGCTGCTGCCGAATGATGGATTCTTGTTTGACTGAATGCCCATTAACCGTCGGCTCTATGCAGTGCGTCTGGAAGCGTCTGTGGAGGCTCACAGGGGAGAAGCTGACCAGTCTAATTATCATGTCTGCTTGTGCCCCAACCGACTGTAGCTCGAACACCATCAAGCAGAAGTTTTAATGCACTGTTCAAGCAATCTAAAGGCTCATAACCGGATATCTGAATGCACAAGAGTACAGACCTACGCACCTGAGACTGAATTAGGTGGTAGACTTGGACTAGACTTCGTATACACGGAAAATGGTGAACAACTGGTTCTGCAGTGCGCTGGCCGCAGGCCATTCTTTCCAATATCGTCTGGCCACATGGGGTCCTCCACCGGTGCGTCAGCCGGGGACCCATTCGTATACACGGAAAATGGTGAAAAAATGGTTCTGCAGTGCGCTGGCCATTCTTTCTGATATCGTCTGGCCACATGGAGTCCTCCACCGGTGCGTCAGCCGGGGACCCAAACTGATCACATGGCAATCAGTTACTGGTGGTGCAGATCCAGGAATGACTACCAGTCGTTTTGGAAGAACTTTGTGAAGTACGACCATGCTCCCTTCGTTCTACAGGGTCGTTCAAGGGGCGGACAAATCATCTGGCAACCAAAATGCTCGCTGACACCGAAGTTAGATTAATCTACCGAAACCACCTTTGAGACTTCCTCCCAACTGCTCCACCGACGAATGCCAATTCATACTGGAACAGAGTCGCCATATCTTTGCACAGTGCAGAGACTTTTGTCCGCGGCACCGCGCGGTTAAACACTGGATACCAAACAAAACAGTGACTGTTTGAACCTCGAAGAACTTTTCCTACTGAAACCAACATAATTCAGTCCGACGAATCATTAGGCGCCAAGTGGAACAGCGTGCCCGCCGACAGTAGGGCGTGCTAGACAGGGAAGGCCCATGGGAGAGGCCAGGAATGAAAGAAGAGTACATCAGTCGATCCGTGTGACCACACCTCAGTGAGCGAAACTATCAAGGGCCAGAGTGGACCGGAAATCTTTAAAGAAGAACGCATCGACCACTAGTCCCATCACTTTGAACAGTACTTGTGGCCACCTGCTGCTACTAATTTGGATCCTGAAACTGAAGTAGAACCCAGAGTCTGAAACCTCCTACTACGGCTTCAGAGGTGCATGACTGCACATGTTCTCTCGAGCACCACCAAGCTCCTGGTCCGAATGACTCCCTACTCGCACTTTTCACGGATAGGGTTGAAGCCTTCACTCAGCGCTTGTTTAATTTACCTGGATCCATTTGGAAAATTGAGTGTCCCATACCACTGAATAGGACCAGCGATGGTGCCGATTTTCAAAATAGGGCTCGCAATAAGTGCGATAATCACAAGGGGGTCATCTTGACTTTGGTTGTAACAAGACTCCTGGTGTCACTTGTCCTTCTTCACCTCATGGCGGCTGTTGAAACACTGACTCGAGCAGCAGGCGGGATTTCAGTCCAAATGGGGACTGCGTTGACGAGTGTCACACTCCTTCAGATGCTACGCCATACGTACAAACGACCCACAAGTTTAGCACTCCTGAATTTTCAAGGCGCATTCGACTCGGTTGACCGATGTGTTCTATTCAACAAGCTTACCCATCGATGAATGCCCCGGAAGTTTGTGAACACAATAAGTTCCTTGTATTCTCAGAGTGTAAGAGTATACGACCAGCTTCCCAAAGGCCTTCGTGCATGGTGGTGTCCGACGAAGATGAGCACTCTGCTCAGACTTGTTCAATTTTGTGATTGGCTGGATGAAGAGACGAACGCTGCTGTTCAAATGGCTACAGACGCATACCTTGTTGATCTGGAGATACAGACGATATCGTTCTTGTCTTTGAAGAGAAAATGCGGGTGTTTTAGATGAACTGACCAAAGGCATTTCATCCTTTGACATGCACTTTCCACCCACAAACTGTAAGGCTATGTTCCTGAAACGAAATCACTGAACGCGCCACTTTTAACCCAAGGGGAGGCAGTCAAAGTTGTGGAGTTTTACGAATCTTTAAAGTTCTATTGGTTCCGATTGTACAATGATAGATGAAATGAATGTATGAATCTCTGAGGCTCGAGTCACGCCTAATAATTTGAGACGCTACAGCAGCAAAGTGGCATATCCATGATTCTCAACAGAGGTGCATCAGGCTACAGTACGGGTTGTTTTGTTGTTTTAGCCGATCCCAGCTATGGTTTTGAGACATCGGTGATTAAAAGTCTGGACACTTCTCACATCCGCCACCCGAGGTGACCAACTCTCGCAGCCGTACAACAATATAACCCGCACTGTAGTCTGACGCACACCGTCCTCGAGACCCAGTGATACGCCTTTTCGATTCCAAAAGTAACATGGACTGGCAGCTGCAATTCAGTCCCCCACCCCCACCCCGATATTATGCTGTCGTCGACAGTCAAACTACCGTCAATACCGTCATAAATCCTCAAGCGGCCATGGTTATCACACAACGCCGGCACTGTCGCCATTCCAGAATCCATAGGAGACTAGACTGTGAATAACGTATCCTCTAGCAGAAGGTTGAAAGAAAAGGACAACCGGGATGTCACACCCACCAGACTATTGTCATGGGGGTTTTCACAGTGTCTTCGTACTCTTTATTGAAGGCTTGGATAGTTTCTCACCCCAAAGATGCTCTAAGCTCTGTTTCAAGACAAAAACCCTCAAAAAATGGTGCTCTTCGCACATGAAAAAGCTTTATGCAGCGTCTCCAAAGGGTGTGTTGCAGTCAGCTAGCTGGAGTGTCCTTCGAAGTGTTCGGTCCGTTTTGAAACTGGCGTTCTCGAAATTGGCTTAGTGGAGCGATTTCTAACCTACTGCCTCCCTTGCAGGCGCCCCCCTCTGACCTGTCGGTGAATTACATGGGGGTGAAATAACCTAATGCGGAGTCTCTCATATGGAAAATGTGGTTAGCAAAACTGGTCTAGTTTCTTCTATCTATATGAAAATGCAGCCAAACTGCAACGTTACGAAGAGAAAACCAATCACACAAGTACACAGAGAAATTCTAATCAACCGATGTGAATATTGTAATGGCGGTTTGATGTGTGATGCGCTACCGTGTGCGCTAGTTCAAACGCGTGGATATATATAAGGCCAACACACCGACTTCCATGGAACACTAAAATGGGGAATGGCAACCTGGCTCTTTTGGATGTTTCCAAATCAGTGAAATTAATAGAAACCCTGATTATCCCGTAGACAACAGCGGGACTCCTGCCGTCTTTGCCTCTTCGGGTCATATGCCTTCAAGCATAACCTAAGCAAGCATTTTGATTTCTTCAGTGTCTGCCTGGACCGATAGAGCAAGGGTGCCTTTCACGGCTATATATCCCAGAGACCAGAGGGCCTCCTCAGAGATTCAAGCCGAGCACACTAAGGCGACACTAGCAGTTTGTGAACATAACCAAGAAGAGTCCAGTTTAGAAGAAACTAGGTTTAGGGGTATAAGGACATAGTACTTATACTACCACGTGCAGCTTTACATACGTTTCCAGGTCTAGTTCGTCGTACCGTTCACCATTCAAATGAACAACAGATCTTCTGCACCTAAGTGCGTTTAATTACTGAAATTACGTACCTGGACTTGCGCGGTTTCGATTCGCCAATGTCAATCCGATGCCGAGACGACATTGTGCTGAAATTTTAAAAGGAGCGCCAATTGCTTAGGTCGAATCGCTGCATCAGGTAGGCTAAATTGGCCTCCACACAGTCAGGAAGCCAAATATCGCTAATCTTGGATGCATGAATCATCGCTTCCAATCGCTATTCGGGTTGCATAAGAGAGGGAGACATGTGGGCCTCACTAGTTGTGGTAGCAATTATGATTTCATAGCCATCGTTGACCGGAGGCAGTAAAATATTGGTCCTTTTTCCCAAATTCACCGGCAGCAACACAGGACGAAGGGGTTCGCTCGGACTTTCTGGGTTGCGCTAGGTAAGCACATGAGGCACCTCCGGGGAAATAAGCCAACCCCCTTCTGCTTGCCGGGAAGAAACGGTAAGCCTCCAAGTGACGCAGTATTGGCGTCTGAAGTCTACGGAGAGCAATATGATGAGCTGTATTCTGCCCCAGAGGCCTCATCACATACAAATTTGGCAGTGCATGACTACTAACGGCCTCCGGCCAACTTTTTATGCACGAAGTCAGACGTTCGTCAACCCTTGCTCGAGATCCACACCTACAGCGCGTTGGGGGCAGATGAATCCATCCAATGATCTTCAAGGAGACGACACCCACACCGACAAAGCGTTTCTACTTGGTTGTTTGTCGGTCGCTCACACAAGGTAACCTTCCTTCTGCTTGGAAGAAGGCGACTGCCACGCCGATCTGCAACACTGCTGACAGACCATCGCCCGGCAGCTACAGGCTCATGTCTCACTAGCAAACCTTGCTAGGTGATCGCTGTACGTACAGTGAACCTCTATCAGTTTGCGCTCAGTTTCTAGGACGCACATGGTCTCAATGACGGACCAAATCAATATAGGCTGCTCTCTGCAGCCATCGATGGACCGCAACAGATGTTGTCGAAATGGGTGTCCGTCGAATGCAAGACGTGGCATGCAACGCCAGACTTGCAAGGGTTGTTGGAATCTTGAATACACGAGTTTACGCGACCACTAGGTAAGCCATTTATCTAAGTCTCCCGACCCGTTTGTCAGCGTCAGCTGCCCATACCTTAACGATGAAATGCATTCCGCAACAAAAAGTGGACCATCAAAAACGAACACAGTTCCAACTTCTGAATAGGAAAGACTACTGTGAATGCTTCTCTTCAATCGAGATACTCGACGCAAAACTCGCGCTCCTTTCCATAGCTCATGAGGAAGCAAACACAAATAAACAAGCAGTCCGAATGAAACTCGATAATGAAGTTTTTCTTGAACGAACCTAGCGCCATCCATCCTGGGTTCTTTGGCTGAACAAGAGATCATCCAGCTCTCCGATGCGGTGCCCAAGACCCTATTGTGTCTTTGGTGAACACCTGCACGAGGGAGAGCACGCTGATCGTCTCGGGGTGATTCTCCAGAAAAATCACACATATGAACCAGGCGCATTCGCCCCTTGATGGTGCTCTGACAAAGCTTGAACAAGAATCACTTCACGCAGATTTGTTACGCCAAAAGGTAAGCAGGTCAACACTTGGGTTCCTAGTTACTCTTTCCTCCCCATCTGCCGCGCGGATCTTGGAGCGCACTGTCAGCACTCAGGAGGCCTACCCAACGATCAAGCGTATATCTGAGGATCACCTACAGTGGCGCGAAAGCTGAGCCACAGCGATTCTATGGAAGAAGTCCAAAACAGCCTTCCGCTTGGCGCCAGTTCTGCTGACCCCAAACTTATGGCCAGATCCATGGCAGCTATAGCCCCTTGTACTCCTGAAAGCAAGCCGACGCAACTGGGCGAGATTCCTGATTGCAGTTTCTGCTTAACCACCACACACCCTCGATTACCAAACGAGGCGACGCACGGGAGGAGATAGGCTCCGCGTGGAAGCAGCGCCCAAGGTATGTAGTGCTATCATAGCTTATTTCCGTTACAGACAATGAAGGCGCGGCTTTGATCTCCACGCCCATTTCATCCCTACTGAGCTGGACTGGGCCAGACGTGCGGGAGCATGCGGGAAATGCTGCCGACAAGTCAACCACGAGCGTTGTCCTCGACATCGTTGAGCGCTCCAAGCATCCCACAAACACTGGGAACGTGAAGCGGCCAATCTCTAGCTCCACTCCGTCAAAACTGGCCTCTTCCATTGTGGATACGTTTTCTGCCTAGAATTCTTGACAACCAATGCCACAAACCTAACAATGTTGAAATCGGAAACCCCCTGCACACAAAGTTGGCCACACTAATCGCGGGCGACTCGGGAGACCATAGACAAACAAAGTCAAATACAGTCACCAAATCAGAAAACTAACGACTAGCTTCCAGGTACACTCCTCTTCAAAAACGGACCTCATGGGAACGTCACCAAATGGAATACTTCTTGGTGGTGCTGCTCATCGTTCAAGGCCCTAAAGAGACACCCCATCGATCGAACCGTACCAAAAGGCCAAATAAAACAAATGGGCGCATTTTGCCTTTAAATTTTTTGAGCAGCAGCAACCCTGGCCGTCCAAATGGAGTTATTGAACAAGCTACACGTATCAACGGTCGAACATTTTCCCGACGGGGGAATCCTGCGTCCCACAAAGGTAAGCGGTCCGCTTAAACCGGGATCCAACAGGCCGAAAACAACCCTGCAAGTGAAATGCAGTTTTTGGAGCCATGGAGAGCGGAAGCCAACAAATTTTCCGCAGAGGCCCCTTCGGAGCCTTGGACTCAAACCCGGCGTGGAGCCATGAAATCTGCTAACATTTCCAGATGCACACCTATCGGCTTCTCGCTGTCGGATGAAGCAGAGACAGTGTTGAAATACTCGTCCAAAACTGTCTCCACATTTTATCAAACTCTGATATAATAAGCAGTCAGACTGCATTGAACAGCCGTCCATTATCACACCGATAGAGACGTGGCTCAAACCAGATATCTCTGGCGCGTAGATCTCGACAGACGGCCACCCTATTTTTATAGCTGGCCTAAAACGAGAGTGGGCTGCTAGGATTACATTGTACTTATATGTGGCCCCGCTCATCCCAATTATCCCCCACGACATTGCTCCTGCACAACTTGCGATGTACCAGGGGTTCCCGTCCCGCTTCGCGGGTCCGATTGTCCTCTCGGTGTGGTCTACTGCTTCACTTCGAGCCTTCAGGATGGTGAACAGTCCACATACAACCGATTGAGCGAATATTTTCCAGCTACCGTTTCACTCATCTCCTGCTGGAGCTCCAGAGCGTTGGATGTAGTGGACTTTCTGCGGCGGCTCTGGCCGATGCCATTCAACAGAGCGCTTGGACTCAAAATGTCGTTGTAGCCACCAGATTCCAAGCAGACCAACCACAACTCCTGGAATTGGTCATCAACATCAAAAGAAACCTTGTCGATCATGTGACGAATACTGTTCTACCAAGACAGTTACAACTGTGGGCTGGTCTTCGACTCCATCTGCTCCTCACATGAATTAGAAACTTCTGCCATACAGACTTCTCAAGAATGCGCCTCATTCTTGACCAGTTTAAACTTAAACCATCCGCAGTGGGAGACTTCTACGGACTTCTATTTCCAGAATGTTCACAAGTGACGCGTGGTCATCCCAAAAAATCAGCACGCAGTCGAATGAACCGCATTTTACCTAAAAGTATTCCTTATCTTCTGCAAAAGAAGTACCAACTATTTTTCAAAANGTGGTTTTTTAAAAAGGGGGGACCCGCCGTAAATCAGAAATTTGCCAATGAGACATACGAAAACAAACCACCATGACAGACGTCGTCCGGAAAAGCGAAGATGTGCTGTTCAAGTACATAAGGCATCGCTGCAGACATAAGCCAACTTGGTTTTCCATGAAGCATAGGAACGGGGAACCCATAAGTGACCCAATAGTGGCATCTGGAGTCTACATGCTCGTAGTTATGGGCAGATTAATTAAAGCAAAGTGCGAGTTACTCACTATAGATGTCGAATTTTCCTACTTTTCAAAAGCGTTCGGTCTGGTCTCACAGGTCCCGCTGCTCTAAAAACTCACGGCTTATTATACTCAAGGGGAATTCTGTGCTGCGTTAAGGCGTCCCTANAGTGCTCTGACAAAGCTTGAACAAGAATCATTTCACGCAGATTTGTTACGTCAACACTTGGGTTCCTAGTTACTCCTTCCTCCCCATCTGCCGTGCGGATCTTGGAGCGCACTGTCAGCATTCAGGAGGCCTACCCAACGATCAAGCGTATATCTGAGGATGGCCCACAGTGGCGCGAAAGCTGAGCCACAGCGATTCTATGGAAGAAGTCTGAAACAGCCTTCCGCTTGGCGCCAGTTCTGCTGACCCCAAACTTATGGCCAGATCCATGGCAGCTAATGGCCCCTTGTACTCCTGAAAGCAGGCCGACGCAAATGGGCGAGATTCCTGATTGCAGTTTCTGCTTAACCACCACACACCCTCGACTACCAAACAAGACGACGCACGGGAGGAGATAGGCCCCGCGTGGAAGCAGCGCCCAAGGTATGTAATGCTATCATAGCCTATTTCCGTTAAAGACAATGAAGGCGCGGCTTTGATCTTCACACCCATTTCATCCCTACTGAGCTGGACTGGGCCAGACGTGCGGGAGCATGCGGCGAATGCTGCCGACAAGTCAACCACGAGCGTTGTCCTCGACATCGTTGAGCGCTCCAAGCATCCCACAAACACTGGGAACGTGAAGCGGCCAATCTTCAGCTCCACTCCGTCAAAATTGGCCTCTTCCATTGCGGATACGTTTTTCGCCCAGAACTCTTGACAACCAAAGCCACAAACCTAACAATATCGAATCGGAAAACCCCCTGCACACAAAGTTGGACACACTAATCGCGGTCGACTCGGGAGACCATAGACAAACAAAGTCAAATACAGTCACCAAATCAGAAAACCAACGACCAGCTTCCAGATACAGTCCTCTTCGAAAACGGACCTAATGGGAACGCCACCAATTGGAATACTTCTTGGTGGTGCTGCCCATCGTTCAGGGCCCTAAAGAGACACCCCATCGATCAAACCGCACCAAAAGGCCAAA